AGAAACCGCCAATACATGCGTTTTCTTGCGCTTTTTTAATAAGCGTTAATGACTCACAATCGCGGTTTCCTTTTGTGCGTTTAAACCCTTTTTTCCAAATTTTTGTCTGCTTGGGGAGTGAACGGGTTTCATCTATAAATGAGTCATATAATACTGAGGTAAAAAGCTATAAGGCTTTTATTAATACACAATTAATCATGATTTTGATTGCAATTAGGACGAAAGTAATCGATCAGATTGATATTGACAAACTTGAACATGAAGCGGAAGTTTATTTGGTGATACTTGTCATGTTTCATCGATGTTGTTGACACGAACAAATTAAACAAAACGAGAGTGATCAGAAATCAGATCTTCATTGATTAGATGGATCGAGAAAAACAGTTTTTCTGTTTTTATTGACAATGTCATTGTGCTTTTTGGCTTAGGATCGTTATCTAGCGATGTTGAGTTTCGTACGTTTGTTATTATTTTCGAAAACTTCTCGTACTTCCTATCTTTATCAAGTCCATAAAAGCTTTTGCCTAATGTCTCCTTCTATATTTCTCAAGTTTCGAACAGAAATTTCTTCATATGTATGATCGGGAAGCCTCAACAATGATCTTGATAAGATTGAGTTGTTTAGTTCTTCATGTTATCGATAAATGTGTTACCTTATCTTTTCGGTATAACTGTACATGATCGATTGTACGGCCAAAAATGATCATGATTTTGTTAAGAAAATGAAATCTATGATAGTTGTACTCCCTAACACGAATATAATCTAACCTATTCGAAAGGTCTCAGAAATGACCATTTGTTTTGAAATAAAAAGCTTCAAACAGCTATCATCGTGAAAAATGTCAGCTTATCCTCTAGGATCCAATTTTATACGCCACAAAATAAATCTGTTTCGATAAAAATAAGGATATGTAGCACCATAGGAAATTTCTTTTGAATTTCAAAAAACAGATTTCATGATATAAGAGTAGGTCAAATATATATTGTAATTCCATTTCATGTCTATCGATAGATTATTGGTGACAATAGTAAAATTGAATCTATCTTATTCTATGAGAAAATTTTACTAATAATCATAATACTCGTGACAGAACCATCGAATCAAAAACATTATATGTCATACACAATTGTAGTCTGTTCCTCACAAAACATTATCGAAGACATTTATTTCAACACAAAATGTAGCCTTCTCAAATAGGCAAGGAATATAACACTGATATTTGAGTGTCTATTTAAAAATATTTTATAGTAAATATCGTCGTATGTCTGGGGTGTGGGTGTGGGTGGGTTGGAGTTTTTTCAAACAATACTTCCACCCACACCCACACACCCCCACACCCTCAAAACGTTTGCATTACATGAATGCTCTCATATATAAAATAAAAGAATAGTTTCTATGTCACATGCAATGCATTTTTTAGTCCCATTCTCTCTGACAGTTTATATTGATTAGATCAAAGTTGTACGAAAAGATATCAGAATATTGTGCGATAGGGTGACCCAAAAGGCATTATTCTGAAAAGAATCGAATATCTCGTCGAATTATTTAGCGCGAATGACTTGATTTTAACACTACTAACGAAGAAAATATCAAAAGCTCATATTCAAGAAAAGTATCTTTACTAAAATAATTTCTGAATGTTATCATCAGGCTTAATGGGAAGAAGAAATTTTTCTTATCACTTATGCAAATAACCTAAGTTATCCGTACGACCTTAACGAATGATACACTTAGATCACTCGTATTCATTTTCCCAACTATCCTCATTTTATCTCATATTTAGCTTAACACCTGATATCTTATTGCCTCAGTTTACTTTCGCGCTTTCAACAATACCAGGAGGAAGCATGTTTAGAAAACTATAGAAGTGATGAAAACAATTTCTTCTTCCTTTAGAGTGCAACAATGACATCTCAACCCTGTATTGGTAAATATGTTTTTCATGAATATGATAAACATTTTCTGTATCATCAGTGTAAAAACAAAGCATTCTCACAAAAGAACGTGGCGAAATATCCAATTTCTTTTGAAATAATGACTTTTGAGTTATCTTGTAGATACATTTTCTTACGAAATTGTTTGTTGAAAAATCGCTTTTTGCCAAAATCAAAGGTATTACCAAATCAACTTCTTTGATGATAAATGTAGTGTGAACATAGAATGTCCATGTGCATTTCGTCCAGAATAACTACCAGCTTTTGGATACTGGCGCTGATATTCGTGCACTGCGCCACTGGTAAGCACTATTTTCTTTCTCGATCATCGATGATTACATTAACATTGCTCTGTATATTATGTGAGGTCTTAATATTCATTAACGCTTCAATGTTAAGTTTTTCAACCAAATTGAGATTTGCATTGTATTCAGTATTGAAACAATCAACTATTGAGAGATTGTATGCAGCGATGGTCTCTATTAGATTAATACACATTTTCATTTACATATTGTCTACAGCAAAGAAGATTGTAGATATGAGGGGAAAAAAGGAGAATATCTCTGCTTTTCAATTACATTGCAGTATCGAGCGCTCCCTAGTGGCAGATAAAGTAGCTCGATATCAGTCCTACAAGAAATACTGGCTGTAGGTTATTCAGAATCATTTCATGATTTGTGATGCAGTGGTTTGAGCATCGTACTTGGTGAAATATGTATTGACTAGCGTAATTATTCAATCATGATGATCATCTAAATAAAAGAAAGCAAACGAGAAGAGAGAATTGGCTACCTGCATGATGATATGAATGTCCTCTTTGTTCAGTTTTTTTTCTGTACGGTGCTAGTCGTCAGAAACAAAAGAAAATATTTTTTCGTTATTTTAAGAACACCAGGATATTTCTCAACACTTTTTAAACTGAAAAACACTACAGCGTGAAGTAAACATCCTTGCTCCTCCACTCTTATCAATAGAAGACACACATGAAAACATTGCATATTTGGATATACTAGAAGATTCAGGATCTTCTACTGAGGATGGTTGCTTTTCTTTATAGGTCAATCTGCAAGAGTAGATTAAGATCTACTATCTAGTTCAGAATTCGAAGTAACATTTCTCACAAGAGCACCGCTTGCTCTCTAGAACCCTGAATAAGACCGATATAGATCACATGAAAAATTGGATTTGCTTTTTTTACTGATCTTTATATAGAATTTCTTATATATAGAAGACAAAAGCTTGTGAACACACTCTCTATTACATTCTATTTACATAATAAACCAAGAGAAATAATCTATGATAAGATTTTCATTTTTCTCGTTCATCTAAGAATCATTACAGAAACAGCTCCTATATTATCGAAAACAGATCGCGAAGAAGAAGCTTAGAATTATCGTGGTCTGCAAAAATATTGTCGTTAAATTTTCACAAGTTTTATTCGCGTATCGTGATTATCTAAAAACATACTTTGGATAGAGCTGACATACATACTATACTACATAACTATAAGGATTAATAATTGATTCTTTCTCCGTGAGAATCAAGAATATCCAAACATCTAGTTTTCATCGACCTGATCAAATTACTTATGGTTGTTTTATCCAGTTTTGACTATTCTTCGTGCACAAATATTTCCAATTCATTGATATTTTTAATGATTTCCGTTTCTGAATACGTCGTTCAAGAATCAACCACATATTTTCCATGGGAGAAATATCTGAGCTATTGGACGACCAATCGATTGCTAAAGGAGCTTCTTGATCCAAAAATTGCTTCGCTATTCTGCTTGTGTGTTTGGAATCGTTATCTTTTCAATATTACCATCACCACCCATATTGTGTTCTTGCTCCACGAATAAGATGGTTTTGAACTATTTTGACATAGTAAGGAGCATCCAGAAACGTTTTAAATGAATAGCATGAAATCTGATCTTTGATTATTAAAAGCTCCCCAGATCATGATCTTTTGCTTGTTTATTTTGAATTCTTTTTGGGAACTTTTGGACAAAGAACAAATTGTATTTCCAAATAGTTGGAAGCTTGTTTTATCAGAGAACACAATACGACTTCAGCCGTTGTCATTGTGCTTTATCGCCCATTGGACACGTTTCATTTTGTGTTCCTTTGCTAACATTGAATTTGCTCGATGTAAAATACTTTTATAACCCATTCGGTGAAGCTGATGTTATACTGTCCACCTGGACACATCCAGATCTCTGTTGTGTTTCAGTTTCTATGCGATTTCTTTCGTGGTGACTTCGTTATTTCTTCGAACATATTGGTCGATTGAAATATTGTCGCTGGCTGTGATCTTATCTGGTCGGTCATTACCACCCCGATGTTTGACAGTACTTTGCTCTCGAATCTTTGCCATGCAATATCGAACAGTACGCACGAGGATTTTTGTTCGGCGCGCAGTTTCAACGGTACATTGATAGCCCAGATCATAATAATGTAACATGACTGATCGATTCATCGATAGACGGCTGAAATCCAAATCATGTGACATTTTTAGTAGACTAATTAAAATTTTGTACGACTTACTATTCTCAGTTCTATATATAGTACTTTACCTTCACGTTACAGATAATTCTGGAGTTATCCCTTTCAAGAAGTTGAGTAGAAAAATTCTAGAAAACTCAGATACAGAACGGCAATTTTTCAAAAACTTTACTGTATATCTCTAGCACATTTATTTTCATTGAAATAGAAAAAATAATTTACTAAACAAATGTAAAGAATTTCGTTTGCAAAGAACGCATTGGGATGTTTTCCTTTAGCTTATTCACACTTCAACATTCATAGACATTGAATAGAACAATAGAAAATGTTGATGTACTTCAAAAGAAAAAAGAGAATTGATGTCAACACGTGTGTTTTGTTTAGCACAACGAAATTTATCAGCTTCTACACGTTGGGCTCAGAATGCCATCACAGTCGCAGGATTGACAAATGGCACAGCTGGTTCATCTTTATATAGTCTTCATGATAACACAGAAATAAGCATGACAAATGACGATACTCTCTACATCGTCGATTTTTTTAATACTCGAATTGTTTTAATTGGACCTAATTCAACTACACCTCTAGCTATTATTCAAAATTGATCTGACTCAAGACCTCTATTTATTCTGCCTTCTACTGTTTTTGTCACTCAAAAATATAGCTACGTCTGAGATATGTATAATTATCAGGTGGTAAAAATATTCAAAAATAGAACAAGTCTAGTCACGATTGCCGGAATCAAAGACGTATTTGGAAACACTCTAAATACGTCAACAATCGGCTATTACTACAGTTTATTTGTCGACAGTTATGAAAACTTGTATGTAAGTGATTTTAGCAATAACAGAATGGTTCGTTATTCATCGAACTCATCGAGTGGTATACCTGGTGTGGTGGTTGCTGGAAATAGTACCAATGGAACTAGTGCTTGATAGTTATATGGACCAACGGGAGTATTTGTCAATGAAGCAGAAACATTATATGTTGCGGATACTCGAAATCATCGAATTCAAAGATGGGATAATGGAGCTTCGTCAGGTGTAACAGTGGCTGGCACTGGAGTTAGCGGTAGTACCTTATTTCAATTAAGCTTTCCGAGAGGAATTGTTGTTGACTCGAATGGATACATGTATATAGTGGATTATGGAAACAACCGAATTCTTCGATGGGCACCAAGTTCGAATTCTGGTGAATGTCTTGTGGCTTGTACTGGTACTAGTGGAAGTGGGGCTAATATGCTGTTTTTGCCGGCTGCATTAACATTTGATAGCTGTGGGTCTGTTTTTATTAGCAATACGCATAATAATCGAGTACAGAAATTTCAGATACTGAGCGGTTTTGGTGAGTAGCCAATGTTTCAATAATTACAGTTCATTGCTTCTCTATTGAAACCAAGCCAGGTCAAAATTTAACGCCAATGCTGACTTCCACAACAACAGCAATAACAACGGTCACAACAATAATGACAACAACAACAACAACAACATCAATAATAACCACAGCAACATCAACAACAACAGATCATACAACATCATCGAATGCCTCGTAGGAGTCAAGTAGGACACTTTCTACAACAGTTACAATATCAATCGCCCTATCGGTAATATCTTTTTGTCAAAAAATAATTCATAACAGTTTCAATCGCTTATTCTGTAATTTTCTAGCTTTGGCTCCTTAACGATTGGAGCTTGAACGATTTTGTTGTTCGCCTTAGCATTACACAATAAGTTACAAAGTGCACAAATGGCTTGTTTCATTTATATTGACCATCGTTCTTTCTCTCTATTGCTTTCATAGTTAACTCGCTTGTCGCTTTTGTATCACTGTGTCAATATGAAAACATATTTTCTGTATCGCTGAATTATTGGAACAAGATTTTGTAAATCATATTGTTGTTTTATTTTTATGTTTCATGTAAAGTCCGATTTTTATCAATGAAGCTTCATGTATCAAGTCGATGTACGTCAACTGCAATACAATTATGAAAATGAAGCTCGGATTTATACATATTTATATACCAGAGACCCACAAATGAAAACTTTTTGCCGGCCTAACCTGATTGTGTCTATCATTTTATTTCTTCGGTCTAGGTTGTATATAAATGCCTGTTTATTTTATTCATGCCAATATCATTAATATGAATGTCCACAGCAATTTCGAAAAGTGTTTACATTTTAAGATATTTTCTTGTTACATGTGCACGAAAACATGGAAGAATGGGAGTAGAAAAAGAACCGTTCGTTGTAAACAGATTTTTCTAATTAGATAGAAGTCAAAGAAAACATTCACAGTTTACTATTCGAGTGTGCTCATGAACAAGCGGTTTGTTTCAAGCAAAATAACTCTTGACGAGAATTGAGAGTCCTCACTATGACGAGTTATTAACAGTATAGGGGGATCAAGAGAGGACAGACATTCAGTAAATGCTACGCCTTCAACAAAACAGAACAATCAATGTCAGCTAAACTAAATGGAGTTTAAAAAAATTACGTATTCTGAATATTCATTCCGAAATAATTACTCACAATGCATGGTATTTAAGTGTCGTTCATAAAATTTAACTCAACTGCATCTGTCTGCTACCAAAACATGCAATTTATGAGTTAAAAATTTGGTATCAAATAAAGAAATGCACATACCAGGTTTCCTATCATTTTTCTGCAGTTATCTAGCTTGTTGTAAGGATTGATGTGGCTGCGCCTTGCCTTATGCCTATTACATGAAAAATTAACGTTAGTCGTTTCCTTCAATGTACCTTCATTATAAAATCAATGTTTTACAAAAATGATTAAATATTCTGATAGCACTCCTATTTCTCTTTTACTCGGCATACTTGTGTTGATCTACAGCTATATACTTTGAATCTTGTTAACATTGGGGCGAATTGATTTAGGAAAAGTTTTGCTGAAAATTTGAGTAGAAATAGTACTGCTGAATAAAAGCAAAAATCCAAAGGTCCCAAATATATCTATAAAAAATAATTACTAATGAGTAACTAAGAAACATGTTTCGATCATCTGAAATTGCTACTCTGATAATAAAACTATTTGCAATATACATTATAAGGATCACGTCTCAAGATGGGTAGTATCAAATTTGCATAAATAGCGATGTTTGATACGGCAGTCGCTTAGAATTAACATAATATAGAAAGGTAATATTATGTTTAAACATGTTTAGTTGAAAGAAGTCAGCGATTAACATATTTAAACAAGTGTTCAGGCACACTTTCGATCAGGCAACTATGTAGAACAGTTTGAAATTAGCAATACTACCACGACATACCGCAGACAAAAGCGTGAAAACGTCACTTTCGTGGTTTATGTACTTATCTTGCATGGCAATGAAGTTCGATTGCCTGTCTGGTATATTGTCTCTTTCACATCGGCAATTTAGAAAAGTTACGATATCACACGTCAGATACTAGTAGCTCCATCTGATCGTTATCAAGATAAACAGGTTCATGAGCGACTCGACTGTGTCAATAACTTCTTTTTCTACCATTTTATTCTCTTGAGTTTTCCATAATATAAGCTTCACCTACTTCTACTTTTGAAGATCCTCGAATGACGTAGAAAATGACGACAACACGAATTTCAGTAAAATTGCATAGAAGGCGAAAATTCAAGTCTTTTTATGGTGATAATTAAATAGTGAGTTTTGATAATAATCTCAGTGTGTGATTCATATATGAAAACGACGAAAATTAAAGAAACACGATGTCAAATGTAGACTTTTCATGCAAAAACAAGAATAAATACGTATTTTTCGAAAATCTTTCACAGCTAATCATGCATATGCCGTTTTTAATTGACAACACAAAAACTCGAAAAAAAGTTGCTGTATGAAAAAGAATTGTTTTTGCATGTCCAATTGTTCATCAGTTCACTGCTGGTCTCAGCAGGAAGAAAACGAGTAGTGAACGATGACGAGTCTTTTCTTTCGTATACATTTTCGAAAGTTCTTTGTTTGCTGGAGTAATAATGATTGAGTAGTCTATTATTCTTTGCTCTAAGTTCTCACCTTGATTTTGGCTTGTGTGACTATTGACCGTCGCTTGAGATGGTATTGACGTGTGATATCAGCTGTTCTCGTGATATGAAAATCTTGAGTACGTTTTGATACCACCCATCAACAAAACTGCATAAAAAGGAAACATTCTTTTATTATTTAAGCATCACTAAAAAAATGTAACTCTCTCACTATTTTTGTGTCTTTTTGCCTAAACCATTTCTGAAATAAAGTCTTCCATTTGTTTAGATGTGGATAACAAAAAGAACCACATCCATACATTTGTATCGAATATATGAGGGTGTGGGTGTGGGTGGGTGTGGGTGTGGGTGTGATTGTGTGGGTGTGAGTGGGTGTGGATGTGGGTGTGGGTGTGGGTAAAGAGAACAAAAACACTCACACCCACACCTCATACTCCACATCCCACACCCACACCTACACCCACATACGATTATAATATGACTTGTATGGCTATTCAAGATATTCCATCGTATCATTTATTAATTACAATAGAAATTCTAAGAACAAAAGATAGCACAGTATATTGTATGACTTATATTTATTCTCTGCACATTCTAGTCTTGAACATAATCTTGCTAGTGAATTCATATTTGATTATCCATATCAACTAATATAGTGTTATAACATATCTAAAAACCCATAATTCAATTGAAAACTGAAATTATTTTTAGAGTTAAAAGATTTTCATGGATTCAAAAATAATTTCTATTAGACAGACAGACTCAGGAATTTCACAACATTGTATGATAAACCTGTGTGATTGAGCAACAGAGCACCACGAATCAGTCGAAAAACCGTTTCTCCTCACCAATAGCCTAGCATAAAAGGGCTTAATTTTTGATCTTTATTTTATTGGCAAGTGCAGTTACACCTACATTCATAAAAGAGAAGGTCAATCATAAATTTACTTGGTTTTGTTTGGAAAGAAATTCATGTCACTGATAGTATTATGTAGTTCTATTCTAAATGCGTTTATCGTATATTAGGTGGTTTAACATCAGAATAAGTTGATTATTTTAAAATACAGACGGCCGAGAAAGCTAAAACGACGAATACTGGCGAAAAGAAATATTTTAATTGCGAATCAAGTCGACCTTTAAATTCATGTTTGAAATTCATTACTGTACGTAGAAGTACTAATTAGTATGACTTCATTCGAATCTTCCACATGACGATATAGAAAATAATCTGATAGTTTTCTTTAATTTTAATAACATCGTCATACCATCGTTCTTGAATATCTATCAATAATTAATTCCAAAACTTTTTTAATAAATTGCTCACGTTCTTTAATAATTGGTGTTCTTATTGGTCCTAGTTCAAATGCAACAACAAATAAACTCCATGAAATCATTTCATGATGAAGACAATTAGATAATAATTCAAACATCTATTTCGATACGAAGTACGGTTGTTCGTGTGGATGAATAGTTGATTCATTACGGTACTTCCAGTGAGCTCATATCCAAATCCACATACCAAACCCGAATTTTTCAACTCTTTACTAGACTTATTCCTCTGTACCAACTTCATCACCATCATTGACATACACTCTTGTTTTATTGTTTCTTAAAAATAAAGTTGTTGGCCCTTTCCAAAGTGCGATATATATTTAACAAGTTTTGTTTAAAGGAATGATGTCAGAATCAAAGGTTAACTACTCAAACAAGAAAAAAAGTATTTGTGCTATTTCAATCAAACTGTATCGATGAAAAGAGACACGCTCATACCTTCACGATATTTCATATGTGCATGCTTGAAATCCGATGATATTCCGAAAAAAACTTCAGTTTATTTTTGACTTTTGCATTTGTAACAATGAGAAGAAAATTAATTAATTATTTGCGTGAAAAAAAGACCCTTCCTTCCAAAACTAATAATTATTTGTATATACCATCAGTCTATGGTGAATTGAAAACGCCATCTGACGATCTCTGTTTGTGATTTCTACCAAAAAGCGCTATAAAGTTATCTTTCATTCATCATGACGGTTATGTGAGTTGTTATCCCGTTCCTTTTCTTGTCTTGTTAGAGTCATAGTCTTCCATTTTTCTTAGTCGTTGAACCAAACATTCGAAACAATGCTGTCATAGTGAGTTCGTACAAACAGGCGAACAATCAAATACGTCAGACGTAAAGAAAAGAAGAAGAGAAACACGTAATTTTAGAAAGAAGATTTGAGTTCCGATAGCACAAAAAGGATTTTGTTCAAGAATTTCGCCAGAGCTCTTGAAAAATATGCTGTCGATGATAGTCAGATTTGTTATGAATTGCATCGAGTTGATTAGTAGTTATTCTATCACTGCCATTAAATTACTTATTCTGTCAAAGAGTATAGCATGGAAGCAACGATCATAGGATATCAATCGCCTAGCTGTAGTCTATATCTACATAGCCTTGCTTCTTTGTGCCAGTATTTTTTTCTCACTCGATATAGACACATTTCTGGGCAATATTGAATACTGATTTTATCCAGATTCAACAGCTTGTAGATTATGTGGTTATCTGCTTGTTCTTCTATGAGTTGGATCTTCAATGGTTTTTCTTTGGAAGTTCTTGGTCATTTTTCATGTTTTGATCATCATTTTTTCTGTCTACTCGGTTGTAGTCATGATCACAGGCTCCTCTATCTACAGAATTGGTTGCAAACCAGAAGAGTTCACTTGTACTCTCAACTTACGCATATGGAAAGGTTTGCTCTATATATACGTAACGCAAAATTCATCACAAGTCACTCAGAGCTATCAGCAGTAAGTAATGTGCATGATCTTTACGCTTTTATGCGCATAGAGCAATCACGTTCATTGGTCTGCTCTCTGGTATACCACCGTCGATACTCTGGATCCTATGGGCAGTCATAGATCATTTACATCCACTAGCTTATCGCAGAGAAATGGCATATTTGAGTATCTCTATAACTTCTGCTGGCATTGGTCTCGCTTTCAGCAATGCACAAATCAGGTCAGGTTTGTATTTTAGAATCAAACCGCGGGCTATACAGCAACTACGTACCATCGTCCCAATCGAACAATATCAAAAATAATAAGTAAAAAATAATTTGTAGTATTACTTGAAGACATATCTTCTTTCTGTGAAAATCTTTCTCATTACTCAAGATGAAAGATATTGTCATGGTATTATTATTCTTGCTTTATTCAGCAGTCAGTTTACGAAAACCACGACCACCACTGTTGATACAATTAGTTGATCAATTGCGTTGAAATTTTGAAAAAACTGAAGCTGTTTTGCAATCAGCTACTATTACCTACACATATCGAAGTCCATGAAATGGTGTGGGTGCGGCCATTGCGTCCATTGGTGTATACGCCCACCCACACCCACATCCAGCCTCACTCATTCTTTAATTGACTTTTAATTCGTCTAGTCTGTTTCACATCGATACATCACATCAATGTCATATTTCTTTGTTCAACAAGGTCAACCTTTTCTCTCCAATGAGTAAGCTGCTTACGAACAAAGAATTAATAGATGCGTATATATATCCTCTTGATAGCAGCGTTACAACCACATTTAAACATGAATCAGAATAATATTCATCTTCTTGATCTTCCAAATGAAATACTATTTCTTATTTTGAAAAAACTTGACAATATTGATGTTCTTTATTCTTTACATGGTATCAACAATCAACGACTTGACATTATAGCACATGAACAAATCTTCAGTAACGTACTTAATTTTGTTTCCATATCACAACCAACTGATGAGATTTCTTTAATTTCTGGTTCAATACTAAATCGATTTTGTAATGACATATTACCAAAAATTCATGAAAAGGTCAAATCTCTCACTCTTGATTCCGTTTCTATGGAATGTATCCTTCGTGCTGGTAACTATCCCAATCTTACTGAACTTAAACTTTTCAATTTCAACAAAATAATCATTTCACGTTATTTCATTAGTAAGATATTCATGTGTACTGATCCTTTAGAAGATTAGCATACAAAAATATTGAGATGCACAGATTAAATGTTATGTATTTCGTTTAGATGATTCTTTCTTTTGACATATTTGTAAGCAACAAATAACGGATCTTATTCTTATCATTAATGAAAACAATACTGAAATAACACAAAACGAGGATAGTAGGAATGTTTATGCAATTATCTTACGTTTCTTTAAAAATCTAAAGCATTTAAGTTTTGCGTCATCATCCGTCAATGATTATCCATCTTTATCATTATATTGTTTACCGCGAATGACTTTTTCCTCTTCGACATTAACTAAATTATGTATCAATGTAGTTGATTTTTATGATGTTTGTGATTTACTTGATGGTCGTCTCAAACAACTGACTACATTTATCGTTCAAGTTGATTCTATCGACAATTGGAGATCAAGATCTTACAACAGGGTTAGTTTATATTCCGTGTTATTATCGTTTTGTAACTAATGTTCGATATCGAAGATAAAATAAAGTTAGTTAGAAGTGCAATAAATAGGACGATTTCTGCATTAGTCAGTGTGATGTTTTAATTTTTATTATCAGGAGATATATAGAACAGATTGTTATATTTATCTTGATATTATTCTATATCGTTATATAATTAATCATCACTCATTTGAGAGTATTTGATCAATCATTGTAGTTATTAATGATCTGATAGAAAATATTTTGTTTTTTATTTTTCTTATTAATTATGTTAAACTTATTCATCTATGTTAAAACAAGTTACATATATAACTGTTCCTAAAATAAGCACTTTAATTAATCGAGTTTTTTAAGTTTCATTTGTTTATACTGTTGAAATAAGTGTACTTATTTCAAAGGACCATTATTTTTCTTTACAAATAATTTTTCTTCTTACATGTATATCATGAATCTTGCTGAACACTTTCAAATATGTTAAGGAAATTTATTCTTATATAATTTTTAATGGTTTTGTTGAATTATGCACTAGTTCCTAAGCGTCAGAACTTAACGAATGCCAAGTAATCATCTTTGTCATCATTATTATTAGAGAATACATATTTCATAGAATATAAGAAAAATTTAAAAACAAAAAAATTTCGAAAATGAATAATATATATATCTCTTTAATTGAAGATTGTTTGTGATTATGAGTATTTATGAAAATAAACAGATAAGATATATTAAATTTTATTTTATTCGTGATGAGAACTATTTAATATGCGAATCAAATAAAAAGTATCTCCAATGACAAAATCATCTCTAGAAAATTAGATACACATCGATAATAGTTACAATCCAGAAAAAGAAGCTATATTTGTTTTACCTTACTAAGTAAAATACCATGCTATTCCTCTACATGATACTTCTTTTGTATGTGAACAGTTTTTATTATATTTTTGGATACCCACAATCACCAGAATAAGGAAAATAATCAATAAGATAATAATAAGAGCAGGTACACCATAGCGGACGATATAGTCTTCAGTACAATAATTCTGTCGTGATTGAGACGTTTTTAAGTTTTGTTCGGTATTTTCAGATGTTGGTTTTTCACTCTCATCCATCAATGATAAAGTAACTTGTTGGTTTTCAACGTCATTAGCCATTTGTGCGAATGATATCACCCTTGAGAACATGTTAAGATGAAAAATTTATACAACTGACTAATCAATACTCGATTTTTTTAATTTCAATAATTATACTACTTAGCAAATATTTATGCAGATATTTTATATCATGACCTGCAGTTACTCTTTTACTATGTTCTCTCGTTCTAATCACGTTATTGTGATTCGAATTCAATAACTACGTTTGTTATTCATTATTTTCTGATTCATTCATTCTTTATAGCTATGCTTATTCTTTACCATCTAACGTTTTTATTCGTTGAATATCATCAATCCTACATATTCTATTTATTTTGCTTCTCTCAGCAATCACTTGATTTTGCATCTATTGTCTCAAAAATATATTTCATCTTAAAACAAAATAATCTCCTGCAAAATTTAACTAAATTGTTTCAATACGAATAAAAAGCCTCGATTTGTTGCTTCCACTCCTCGATGTATAAATAACTATATACTAACGTACTTATTCAAATAGTCTTTTCTTTTTTCTTCGTCCCCCTAATATGATGAGTATGTTTCTATGCATAATACAATCTGTGTGAAACTTGTTAGCAATATTTTACTTGTTATCTTGGATATTCAAGCACATGCATACTTTATTTTCTTTTCTTTGTACTTTCAGTGTCATATTTCGACCATGGCTTTTCTTCTAAATACCAATTTTTCAGATTTAAGTAGTAGGTTCATCGTAAGATCTATGAATAATTATCAATGTCAAGAGCAAACTCTGGATGAGTTATAGATTTGATTTATTAGAGAGCTTTTCTCAACAAACTGTCATAAGATAAGGAAATTTGAATAAAAGATGAATAATCGTGAAATTCTGATATGTTCCATTCGTATTGGCATTAAGAATTCATAGATTGGTCAATATTCAATGAAAAATATCATGACGAAAATGTATAAACTGGCATGGCTCAAACATATAAAAAAGCTATATTTATAAATGCTTATTCTTCTACTATATTTTACAAATTCACATACACATAATATTGCTCATGTTTTGCATTGATTTGCATACACATGCAACCAACTTTTAAAAAATGTTATTTATTTTCAACAATTCTAATACTACAATTCTTAGGTTTACTATTTAAGTAGAAGTTATACTTATCATGAAACTTTATAATAAGTTTATATTAATTGATCATGAAAACACGAATCAGAGAAATAATATTCAATCTGATATATCTCATAAAGGTATCATTCACAACTTTTAAAATCATATTTGTGATTGACTGAGTGGATGGGTGTGAAGTGTCGGCGAATGTGGCTCTTAGTATCACAAGCATACACCTCTCCAACACTTTCAGACGCTTAAATTCCTCATGTATATTGTCAACAGTCTTTCTTGGATTTCCGAAAACAGAGCTATTTCTAACTTCAGCCTTTAAGCAGCTAGAAGTAGAAGCATAACTACCACAACAAAGCATCTTTTGGGTTCGAATTTTCTTAATCTGAAGCTCCCCACCCTGAAAAATTAATCTCAAACCAGAAACATGCAAAAATTGCATGAAGAGACTTTCACCAAGTAAGGATCTAAAATAGCTGGATCGTATGTCCAAGAGTTCTCTATAGGCTTTCATTCTATACATTGAAATTTCTTTTTTGGAAAGAGAATGTCAGAATGCAGGGACTATCGTAGCTCGTTTTTTTTAAATTTTTTCTTTTGAAGGGAAAAAGGGATCGAAAGTTCATTGATTTAGTAAACTTCTCTAAAAATGGCGCTACGTCTACAGAGGTATTTTCTTATATGATAGTAAAATAGCTTGTTTTGAAAAAAGGGCTACTAGAGTCGCTAGCTCTGAACACGATCTTTCAAACAAAAGAAGAGTTTTTGGTCCAATGAAGATTCTTGGACAATTCTTGGAGACACGATCGAAAATCTACAAAATGAGAAAAAGTGAAAGGAAATTTTTTTTTTAAACAGCTTATTCTTCGAAAAGGACGTAACGAAAATCTTCAAAAATTTTTGGAAAAGCCGGAGTGCAGAGTAAAAATTTTTATCGTTTATGAGAGATCAGATCACGGGCTATTTGCCCCTGTATGGTTCTTGAAGAAAAAATCCTGTTCTATTAAGCTCAGAGATGATACGCGATCTAATCCTATATTCGCCGGTGCAGCTAGGAAAATGGCGGTTTTCAGGCACTTCTAGTGCCCGGCGGGGCCGTCCTGACTCACGGCAGTCACGGGTAGTCACGAACGCTGAGCGCTTCATATATTCTATGTTTTTGTCAACTACATTAGATTCTCCACAAGACGAAGATTTTTTATGTTCTACACTTATTTCAATACTCTATCCATTTTGCCCGAACCTAAATTACTGTGCATAACGATTACTAAACTGAAAATACATGATTTAAGTAGACATTTCGTTACAGTTATACTTCGACGAAAGGACACACATATGCTAGTATTCCTTTTAAAAAAACAAATTACTTAAGTTTTCTTCATCATAAATGATTTAATCATTTTCATTTGTATTTGCTTCTTTTACATTGTCATAAACTTTAGATATATGTCGCAGACCAAACTTTGATTCCTCTCAATACTGGATTGAACTAGCCCAAAGTCGAATCGAGGAAGCTGTTTACGGAAAAACTCAAAAAAGTCTCTCGATCTCGAACTAAGTCAGATCCAGTTTACTTTTGGTGAACTACCATAAAATAATGGTATTTCAACGAAATCAGTGAACACTTGACAGACAAAGTGAGAGTCGGGTTAATGGTCAACTACTTTCCGCAGAAACTGCTATTCTGCATAAAAAGACTTATCAATTCTAAGACTATCCCTTAAGTCATCAACTGATGACTGTATTCATTGAAATAACACTGCCTTATCATAGTACGATCAAAACTAATCCGAACCTGGCATTCATCAGGAGACTGATTCGAGCTTTGTGGTCAACTGTTTCCTCGATCTTGTGTAGAACTAGTTTAATCTCCCTTCCAAGATCCGCCTTGGCCAGCCCACGATTAGTTTCATTCTTGAATTGGCTTGGGTCTTAGATTGGCCTATGACATACGATAGGTGGACTAGAATAAATTAAACTGGTTCTATTTTTAATATTTCTTCTCTACCTGGAATTCGATCAAGCTGCTTCTTTTTACTTAAAAGTTTCCTGTTCAATTCCCTACAAAAAATGTATTGACCCTTTTATTTTCAGAATTCGAATGTGCAGAATGTTATGAGAAATTCTTAGAAATATCAAAATGGAGAAAAAACAAAGTGTATTTTTACAAATATTTTCTCAAGTAAAGCTATACTTTTTCGAATGATTTCACTAGTATCAGTACACAGTTTTAGTAGATTTTGTGTTGTCTTAAAGACGCTCTATCTCCTAGTATAGGGCGCAAATCATTCGAATCCAAATATTCAACACAAAGATTAGCTTGACG